CCTGCGGAACTGCACAAGGTCCCGCAGGGCCTGGATCTCCTCTGGGAGCTCATTCCACCAGGTAGGAGCCGCCACCGAAAACGCCCTGGCCCTGGTAACAGCAAATTTGATATTCCTGGGGCCTGGGATTACCAGGAGATTTTGACTCCCCGACCGTAGTGCCCTTGGGGGAACATGCGGGGAAAGCCGGTCCCTTAGATTCTTGGAAGCTTATACCCTGGAGTTCTAGATGGTCTCTAACCAGGACTCCATGTTTTGCAGAATCTGGTGTGTTGCTTTGGAGGCCCATTCCTGAGTGGCGTTTGCCGGCGGCTGTCCAGAGATCTGCGCCACTGTAGGGGCGGCCAGGACTGGGGAATCGAACCCGGTTCTCTAGATTAGAGTCCGCTGCCGCTCTTAACCACTACACCAAACTGGAGGCAGTGGTGTGGCCATTTCATAGAAGAAGAAGAAGAGATTGGATTTATACCCCACCCTTCACTACCCAAAGGAGTCTCAGAGCGTCTTACAAACGCCTTTTCCTTCCCCTCCCCACAACAGACACCCTACCCTGTGAGGTAGGTGGGGCTGAGAGAGCTCTTTCGAGGACTGCCCTTGAGAGAACAGCTCTGAGAGAACTTGTGACTGACCCAAGGTCATCCAGCCAGGTGCAAGTGGAGGAGTGGGGAATCAAACCCGGTTCTCCTAGATTAGAGTCCGCGCTCCTAACCACTACACCAAACTGGCTCTCATTTGATTTCATATGTTCACCTTAAGCTCTCCACAGTGAAGGGGGAAAGGGCTCTTGGTTTCTTTGGATAGCGGTAGAGGTGAGGAAGTCCCCCAGTTCAGCATGAGGAAGGAGAACACCATTGATCTGTCTGAGGCTTGATTCGAATCCAGAATGACCTCAGAGAACAGCAAGGTTTTCGGGGTGTGAGCCTTCAGTCCTCCATCTTAGCCAGACCGGAAGCCCAAGCTTTGATTCTTTCTTTCTTTCTTTATTGGATTTATATCCCGCCCTCCCCGAAGGCTCAGGGCGGCTAACAAAGAGGCACAAGTGCCAAAGTTAAAACAGATAAAAACAGAATAAAACAGATATAAATCCAATAAATAAATACTAATAGATAAATACAGTACAAAACACTAAAGTGTCAGTGCTCTAGATGTCACTGAATCGGTAGTTGCAAGATGGGGGGCTGGTAAAAGTTATTCATTCCAGGCCAACGACATACCTCCTAGCAGCACAACCATCCCATCTTCATCCAGGAACATCTCGCACCCCATTTAATATCTGCACAATTGATGGTCGAGGGGTAACGATGGTGGAATAGTGGTGGCGGCAGCTCCTACTCAAAAGCCTGGCGGAAGAGCTCCGTCTTGCGGGCCCTGCGGAATTGCGCAAGGTCCCGCAGGGCCTGGATCTCCTCCGGGAGCTCGTTCCCCCAGGTAGGAGCTGCCACGGAAAACGCCCTGGCCCTGGTAACAGCGAATTTGATATTCCTGGGGCCTGGGATTACCAGGAGATTTTGACTCCCCGACCGTAGTGCCCTTGGGGGAACATGCGGGGAAACGCGGTCCCTTAGATTCTTGGAAGCTTATACCCTGGAGTTCTAGATGGTCTCTAACCAGGACTCCATGTTTTGCAGAATCTGGTGTGTTGCTTTGGAGGCCCATTCCTGAGTGGCGTTTGCCGGCGGCTGTCCAGAGATCTGCGCCACTGTAGGGGCGGCCTCCCTGACCTGGTTGTGTGGAGGACAGAAGACCGCCAGTTTAAGGTACGTTCCTGTCTGCGCAGGAGAAGTTGTGGGCTGTGCGATTCGGCGATGCGATGTCAAACTGGATCAGTTACCAAGTGAGAATCCAGGACGTTTAACACAGGGAAACTTTCACGCTGGGATTTACCCACCATCCATTTAGAAGGTAGGAGAGTCAAGAAGGCTGAGATGTATCCGTTAGAGTTATCTATAACATTTGGTCATTTGCTCCGCCTCTTGCGGTAGCCATTCGATAAATGGCTCCACCTACTGCGGCAGCCATTTTTGTGGCTGTGCCCCCACCACCCTGTGCCAGAATTCCCAAGGTGCCCAAAGACTCAAAAAGGTTGGTGGGGGGACTGGTCTAGAGCAGTATTCCCTCTAAGCTGAGTTAGTGTGAGCCAGCTCACAGCTTTTTAGCCTCCAGCTCATAGAGTTTTGTCTTTGCTCAGGAAGGAGGGCTCCAGGGCAGACTAATTTCTGCAGTAGCCAAATCACGCGCTGACAGCTTTAATGGCAGTAGCTCACAAAGTAGGATTTTTGCTCACAAGACTCCACAACTTAGAAGGAGCACTGGGAGCGGCAGGTTGGCCTACCTTCTGCAGGTGTGGTACCTTGGAGCAGGCCCATTTTCAGTGGCAACCCTACTGCCAGACCCGCCCTGTGCAGAAACCCCTCGCCACGTGATCTCTCACGACCTTCAGGAGTCTGGCAAAGAGAGGAGAGCCTATGGGAAAAACATCATCTTGGCCCTTAGAGTGTATTGGGTTGTGTTAGCATGTCTGGGGTAACTATGCTAAGGGGACTCTGTCACCACCCCGTAGAGTACTAATGTGAAAAATGGGAAAAATCCATGAGGTTGCTTCCAGGAAAGGGGGGGGGGGAGATGTGAGTGAAGCTCTCAGCCCACAAAAAAATAATAATAATAATCCCCTGGAGAGCAGTTGTGCGGCGTCAAGCTCATCCTTGAGTTTGGGATACATTTCTGTATCCCAAAAAGCTGCGTTCTGCCGTTCTGAAATTATGTGCCGATTTCGTTCTTTGCAGAATTTAGTTCTGCAATTTTAGGCACAGCAGAAGCGGGGGGAAGAGTTATTTAACTTACCCTGTGGGTGCAACTGATTAATTAGTTTGGAAATAACCTGGTTTGTAACCCCGGTTAGAGGCCTTTACATCTTCACCCAAAAAGAGTAATGAACATGTGGAATTCACTGCCACAGGAAGTGGTGGTGGCCACAAGCATAGACTGCTTCAAGAGGGGTGGAGAAACATATGGAGTGGAGGTCCATGAGCGGCAATTAGCTACAACTTATAGATGGCACACTCTGTCTGGGGCAGTGACGCTCTGTATTCTTGGTGCTTGGGAGGGGCCACAGTGGGAGGGCTTCTGGGGTTCTGGCCCCACTGGTGGACCTCCTGAGGGCACCTGGGTTTTGGCCACTGCGTGACACAGAGTGTTGGACTGGATGGGCCATTGGCCTGATCCAACATGGCTTCTCTTGTGGCCTTATGTCTAGGTCATGTGATGCTCTGTATTCTTGGTGCTTGGGAGGGGCCACAGTGGGAGGGCTTCTGGAGTTCTGCCTCCACTGGTGGACCTCCTGATGGCACCTGGGTTTTGGCCACTGTGTGGCACAGAGTGTTGGACCACATGGGCCATTGACCTGATCCAGCATGGCTTCTCTTACATTTGTATCTGCTTGGTCCCTGGAGCAGGCATTCTCCCATACACGTGTAAGCCTATCTCCACAGTCCCAAAAGCCAGAGACTTCTTTTAAAAGCACAGCGAGCGACAGTGACGTCTGCCCTCCTGTGGAACTGTAGCCTCCACGGCTTGTTCATATTGTCGTTTTGCCAAAATGCAATGTGCATAGAACGATTTAAGCCAGAATTAGCCTAATGGAACGGTGACCAATTTAGAAATGGGATTTGTTTTCTCTCCCTCTCTCCCCTGTTCCAGCTGGTGGAAGTGAAAGGCCCCAACGATCGTCTCTCCCCCAAACAGATGCTCTGGTTGGCTGAGCTGCAGCGCCTGGGAGCGGCCGTGGAAGTGTGCCACGTGGCAGCGATCGGCTCAAAGAGCGAACGCCTGAGCTGAAGGACTCCGCCATGCTGGCCGTGTCCCAGGCCCTGGCACCGAATAAATTTTCTCGCTGTGCATCCGATTGAGTTGCCGCTCTGGTTTTTCTAAAAGAAACACAAATTCCCAATCCTTCTCCCACATCCCGGAAGTGTTTCTTTCGTGTTTTATGTTGACAAAATTGCTGCTGTTTCCTCTTTTAATGGGAACCTTCTAAACTCAGGTTGATTACAAGTCTTCTGAATGTCAGCTGTCTTTGAAAACTAACCGAGGTCAGTTATGCTCTGAAAACAATCCTGGCTGATTCTCTGTCCTGGCCAGGTAGGCTGCCCAGCACCGCGAGGAGTCTTATGTTTAAGAGGAGAAACACACACAACCAAGCTAATTAAGTTTCTGTCTTTTTTAATTTAAACAAAAAGAATATCGGGCCAGCCAACCAGCTTTTCAGAGATGCCTTATCTTTCTGTCGTTTGACACGAGGTTTCAGTTTGAAGCACAGAATCTTGAATTGTACATAGATTTTCCCGAGCAGGCTGTGTGCCGTGCTTTTCTGTAGAACAACATTCAATGAACCCCTGCACGTTCTTTTTCCCAGCACATTCAGCTGCGGTTTCATGACATCTCCCGCCCACCTTTCTGTTTGTCGGTTTCGGCATAAACGTATCCAGCTAACGGATGTACATTCCAGAGGGGGATTAGCGTGTGAGTTTGTTATATCAAAATAAAACAGAAGTTTTGTGGCACCTCTAAAGATGGACAAAACTTTATTCCAGCGCAAGTTCTTCTGAGTCAGACCGCCCTTTCCCAAACGCAAGAAACGGCTGTGCCGACAATCCCATGTGCCTGAAAGAAGTGAGCACTGACCAGTGTTCCATCTAACCTGTGCATGTGAACGGCGGCCGCTCAGAACACAAGAAGCCCCGCTCAGGAACAATCTGGGGCTGCCCGTCACCCATTTGAAGATTACAGCAGTTATATTCTGCTCAGGGTGTGAACTGCTCCGCCCAGCAGGGAGGGAATTGGCCCTGACTCACAACCGCTAATGCTGGAATACGTTCTGTCAGTTTAAATCTGCTGGCAGTGAGTGGCATCTTCTTCCCTCCCCCTCTGAAATGAAGAATCGTGCCCTGAACCTTTGCGGGCACACTTCAGCCTAGGAACCAAATCCCTTTGAGCGGAATGGTACCTCTGAGTGAACCATGAGGATCAAGATCAGGGGTGTCGAACTCATTTGTTATGAGGGCCGGATTGGACATAAATGAGACCTTGGGCCGGGCCATGTGTGTCATAAAATGTAATGCCAGGTAGTAGAGATATAAACTTTATGAAGGACACAAACACAAAGGTTTTTTTTAAACTTAAAAACATGCTTAAAACATTAGCACTCTTGCAATATTTTGTTTATTTAATAGTGTCTGATAACTGACACCCCTTGCTCTGAATTACGGCATCAAAATGTCTGTGCTGTTGCAATCTTGAGTGTGCTGTTCAGGTGTATGTCTGTAAGCTGCAAACCTACGATGACGCAACAGCATAAGACAGCCAGTTCCACTGGGGGCCTGAAAGAAGTCATCCGGGGGCCTGATCCGGCCCCCAGGCCGCATGTTTGACACCCCAGATCAAGATTTTTGGATAGCTTTTTTGGGAGGCATGTCATTTCAGAAACGGAGAAAAGCTCCAAGCCTTGTCCGCGTCAATGACTTAATGGTGTGTGAAATTCTATTTATTTTTTGCGTTACAGGTTGCCGGCGTACGGCATTCACGGGAGTATACCCGTTAAATGCCCCATCGACACCCCACCACCTCCTCCACCACCACCATGAGAATACTACAGAGCAGAACTGAAAATACTTTTTAAATTTTATTAAGCCTGACTTACTTCACATTCACAACAGCGGACAGGATCCGTTCCCCGTCAGCTCCACTTTGCACAGGTAAGGCAGGGTTAGGCATTGAGGCTTTGGTTTTAACTTTTTTGGGGGGGGGGCTGTCCACGGCATCCCCCCCCCACTTTCCATAAAAGCCTATTGCTGGTTAGTAGCAAAGAACCCATGTTTTCTGGCTCACAGCATCAGCTTCTTTAAATTAAATGTCAAAGAGAGGTTTGGCTTTCAACGCATATCTTTTTTTCCTTTGGAGAGTTAACAGCCAAAAGTTTCCTGGCTCCTACCAGCTGCACAGAAAAACCACAAATACAAACATGACTGAAACGGGAATCCCTTTCAACATGGCAAAAAATGCCCAGTCGAGGGATTTTCCTTGGTTCTTGGCCTGATCGAGGGTTAACATAATTGCACTTCCACGGTAAATGATGTAACAGTCAAACTTCCTTCGGCAGTAGCTAAAAGGGATCAGATATCCCTACTTGGACCTCAATAGGTAGCAACTCCATCCGTCAACGACAACCAAAAAGGAAATCTACACACACACACCCTTTTAAGAAATCCAAGTAGTGCTTTTTGCTAGGAAAGACATACAAAAATAAGCAATTTATCATTTTCTACACTTACAAAAAACCCTCCAGAAAACAGGTTTTGTTCTTTTTTTTTCTTTTTAAAAGGTACCTAGTTTTTAAAAAGCAGATAGCTTACTGGGCACAATCTCCAGAACATCCCTCCCACCCCAAATCTGAACAGACAGAGGAAAATTGCATATAATGGCGGCGGGGGGGGGGGGGGGGGGTAGGATTTGGTCGGTTAGAGAGCTCTGCTCCAAGGAATTTTTTTTTTAGACTCTTGAGTGTCTGTTAAAAGGATCTGTGTTTGCTCCAGCCACCCTTCCCCAGAAAGGGGTGTGGAGAGGGACTGTGCGCGCAATGTGGAACGGGAGCGGTTTTAACTCTGCCGTAATTGTGCACAACAGAACGTGATTGGATAGCGGGGCGCTGGCCCAAATGCCACCTGACAGCACAATCTCGTAATGCCAGCTCTCGGCTTCGGGCAATCCTTCTAAAAGACGCTTGACAGCAAAACTCCATTAAAACCAGTAGGGCATCTTTGCGTCCCAGCCCACACTGCTTACGTTCTTTCACAAGCTTGCTTTAACTCACGACAGTCTTAAAAGAAGCCATTCTGTTGCATTTGGTAAACACGGTATACATAAAACGGCTATTCTGAAAGGGCAGATTTCTGCAACGTTGGGAATGAAGGTAAAGGTGGGGAAGGACACAAACCACCGGAAACCCCTGCCGAATAAAAAGATTTCTGCACAGAGGGACCTCGTTCGGACCTGCGAGCAAACGAAACGTCAACGTCTTCACCCTGACTCTGGCGAAATATATCCCATCTGAGTTTGTTAAGTAGCAAAAAACTAGGCACGTTCTGAAATGTACTTAAGACTATTAGGTGTACAGTCATCGAAGACCCGGTACAGAGAAGAGCTGAGTTAGTACGTAACCTGGATGCTTGCGAAAGGTAACCCCAGAGGGAACAAAAGGTAAAAATCTTGATGAGAAAGGTATGCCTCAGCCAGGAAGGTGAGGCCTAGGGGTGGTCACACGATCAGCGAGCCTTTCAGTGGCATCCAGCGAAGGTGGTCATCTCACCCTTTATCAGACAGAAATTCAGAGAGAGGGGAGGGAGAAGGGGGTAACCACTTTCACACAAACACAGCGATCCCAATCAGGCTGGGGGCACAGGTGCCGTCTGCAGAACTGCAGGCACACAGACCCACTTTTTAAACTTGGAATCCTGGCAGTCTTCCTGGAGAACAGTTGATTGGAAGCGTTCTTCCCCCTGAGCACAGCGCTGGATCAGGGACAGAATCAGCAGCAGTAGCTACGAGGGCTGCGGGGAGGCGGGGGCTAACTTCTATTGGCCTCACTGATTTTCTAGACAAGCAGGCGTCTTCTGGGGACTGGGAACATGCCACAAAATTGATCCTCGCCCTCAGATGACAGCTGACAAGAAAATAACAACAAATAGCAGGCCGCTGCTGAATTTACAGTCTCTGCGGCAGTTTCTCAGCTTGTCATGTGGCCCCAGATACCGGTACCCGGTAACGAACCCACAGTAACACTGGCTTCCAGAGCACGCCGACACAACATCAAGTTTCTCCACGCGGCCTCACGTTATCCCCGGGACGCTGCAGTCAGAGAACAAGAATTTTTTTTTTTGCTTTGTCCGCCGTCCAGAAATGATTACACTAAGTAATATTTTCCTTTGTGACAGATCTTAGAGCCAGCTTGATTCGGACTCACTCAGGACTTCTTACGCTGAAAGAGTGACTGCCACCTCGCAATCGCACCTTGTTTCTGATCGCAGCGTCGAAAGGATAACGGAGGCTGGTTGTTTCCAGAATTCCACAAGGCTTTGAACATGGTTCACACAAACAGGGGAGCGTGTTAGCTTACTAGATGAAAGAAATCAAATCCTGAGGAGGAGGAAACAAGAGTCTTAGTTTGACGCGAGAAAAAGGCACTTTGGAAGGTTACAATTCGTCCGCTGCTAAATGATGGATTTTGTTGCGTTGGGCTGGTGCAGCTAACAACACCCCCACCCCCCCCGTCTCCCAGCTGCAGGAGCTGCAGGAACTGCAGGAACTACATTTCCCCAGGAGCCCCTCCGCTTAGCTCCTGATGACCACTTGTACCACGGTTTCAGATCCGGGGCCCAGAGGATGCCATGGTTAGCCTGAACCATAGTTAATATCAGTGCTAACACTTGCATTAACTGCCGCTAAGGCAGGAGGGGAACGTTTGCTCCCACAAGGGGAGAGACAGAGCGCAGTTTAGAGACTAGGGTAGCTATGTCTGCACCAGGCCCACAGACAGAGCGCCCTGTTTTGTGGGCAGATTCTGGCGCTCTAAAGGCGAGCATGTATATGCCAACGAGGAGAAAATACGGACTTGCCAGATGGACCAGATCGGCCTAGCCCACGAATGCCATCCGGCAGAAATGTTTAAATCTCACGCTTTTCGATGGCTGAGCCACTAATTTAAAGTCCTGCCGAAACCAACAGGGATATTAAAATGCTGCTTTGGCTGGACAGCGCTGTGAATTCGTAACCCGGCAAAGAACGTATCGCTCTGGCATTCGCACAAGTTAATGGCAGGCAGATCTGAACACGGCAACTCTCATTTCCCTTGCTGTCCGTCTTCGCCTGCCGCTTTAATCCAAGCTGACACAGGGATTCGCTTCGGTCAGCAACTAGGAAGGGCCGCCTGCCAACACAACCCCAAACATACAAGTTAGTCGCCGTGCCAAATCGTTGGAGGGGAGGGAGGCTGGGGAGTTGGGGGGGGGTGTTTGAAGCTCGCGGGCCTCACGCAACAAGCTAGATGTGGAAAGCAGAAAGGAGGGAGGGAAGCGGGACAAGACGCTTTGACAGCTGCAGAGGACAACACTGTGTGATGTTTGAAGCACGACGCCCTTGCTTTTTAAATATTCTGTGCAAAAAAGAAATCATCAGTAACCTTTGTGTATAAAATTATTACAGCTCCAAGCAGGGCGGTGTGGCATGGCAAAGAAGCTCCAGTCTCTGTCTCCTCCTCCGTGCTATAAAGGTGGCTAGGCTAGTCCTCATTGGCCAGCGTCTCTGTGGACAACCAGATTTTGGCGCCGCTTAAGAATTTGCTCAGCGGCGTTCCCAGGATGCTCCTCCGGCAGAGGTTCCCCACGGGAGAAAAGGGGAAAGAGGAAGAGAGGCATTCCGGGCTTGCCAAAACGTCATTTGCCTCGTCTGCCCTGAAATACATCCGGCTCTGATCCCGCTCGGGATTGTTTGCGAGAAACCGCGGGCCGCTGTTGTGCTGCCGCAAGCTCCGGTTCAGCGCGTCCACCTCGTCCGCCAAGAGGGAGATTTTGCGGAAGGCGGTGATGAAGCCGCCACTGGCGATCTGGGCCTCCGGGACCCAGCGGAAGTAACAGAGTTTCCAGAGTTTGATTTGCGTCCCGGAGAGACGGGGCAGAATCACGCCGTGCAGGTCGACCGGCTTGGAGAACCACTCTCTGAAATATTGCTCCGTGCCGCTGGCGTTGCTGTCCGTATGCTGAAGGAAGTCTGGTTTCAGTTTTAGGATTAGGGAATTTCTTCTCGGAAGAAAGTCTTGCTCGCTGATGATCCCGTTCTTTAACGATGGGGGGAAGCCTCGCAGAGTCGAGCTGTAATTCTTCTGGAGGCAAAAGGGACAACACACGGTCAGTCTCTGCCTGATTCCCTCAACCACCACAGAACGAGCTCCGGTTACATTGGAGTCCCCTCCCCCAGATAGCTTCAGAGGGCAGCCATTTTGCTCTGCAGTAGGAGAGCTACATTCGAATCCAGCAGCACCTTGGAAACCAGCAAGATTTTCGGGGTAGAAGAAGAAGAGATTGGATTTATACTCTGCCCTTCACACGGAGTCTCAGAGCAAGTTTACAATCACCTTTCCCTTCCTCTCTCCATAACAGACACCCTGTGAGGTGGGTGGGGCTGAGAGAACTCTGAGAGAACTGCTCTTGAGAGAACAGCTCTGAGAGAACTTGTGATTGGCCCAAGGTCACACCAGCAGCTGCATATGGAGGGAGTGGGGAATCAAACCCGGTTCTCCCAGAATGATTAGAGTTCACCACTCTTAACCAATATACCAAACTGGGTACAGGCTTTTGAGAGTCAAAGCTTTCGAGATACTTCTCGAAAGCTTACAACCCAACCATCTTGTTGGTCTCTAAGGTGCTACTGGACTCGAATCTAGCTCAGGACTCCACAGAAATCATTACTTTTAGGTGCCATTAATGTGGTTACACAGAGTGGAGTATCTTTGACATTAACCACATCTGGACAACTGCGCCTCTGGCTCTCTGGGGCCCAGACGGGGTACCAAGAAGGACAGGGCAGTGTTTACAACAGGCAACTGCCCATCAGCCAAGGACTCTGTAAATGGTTACCCATATCAATATCTTCGCAGAGTACAAGATCGGTTATCAATACAAAACGTTTTTTCATTTCTGGTCATTAGAATTGTTGCAGTTGATACTTTAACTGGTTAGACGGGTCAGCTTTTAACTTATTGTTATATTTTTTAAAAAACCTCACAACACACAAGTAAGTTTAGGGCTGGATCCCATGGATCCGTTCCACTTCCAGAGATGCTTTCCTCTAGAGCAGGGTTGGCCAAACTTGTTTAATGTAAGAGCCACATAGAATAAATGTCAGATATTTGAGAGCTGCAAGACATGAACAAATATTTATTTATTATTTATTGTTTGGAATTTTTACCCCGCCCTCCCTGCGAAGCGGGCTCAGGGCGGCTTACAAGGGGCAAAGCCCATATAAAACAGGATAAAAGCAATAAAAACATTAATCACAATTAATCACAACAACAACAATAATACTCAATTGAAAGCAGGATGGTCCCCGGATGTATGCCATGATGGTAAACAGACAGTTCTCTGGGGATGATGTTGTCCTATAGCTGATCCCAAGCAGATATCACATTCATGTTTTTATTGAAAAACATGCAAATTTGCTTTCCATTAATATTAAATGAGACTGCCAAAAATAAAAACAAAAGGGGTAAAAAGGTATTGACAATGGTTTTTATTTGTTCAATGGTATTTGTTTGCTAATGTATTTATTTGTCTGAAAGAGAGAGGGGGTGGAAAGAAAGAATGAAAGAGGTTGAAAGAAAGAAAGAGTGGGAGACAGAAAAAGAGAAAGAAAGGTCGAAAGAAAGTAAATAGATGAGGGGCGGGTGGAAGGGGGAAAGAGAGTGAGAAATAGACGAAAACAAATCAAACAGAGGGGGAAGGAAGGGAGAAAGAGAAAGGTGCCCCCCTCTTTGCTTCCCCAGCTGCCCTGCTGGGAGCCACACAATATGTGTGGCGTGGTTAAGTGCGCGGACTCTAATCTGGGAGAACCGGGTTTGATTCCCCACTCCTGCACTTGCACCTGGCTGGATGACCTTGGGCAAGTCGTAGTTCTGATAAGAGCTGTTCTTGAAAAAAAGGGCAGTTTCTATCAGAGCTCTCTCAGCCCCACCTACCTTACAGGGTGTCTGTTGCGGGGAGAGGAAGGGAAAGGAGTTTGTGAGCTGCTCTGAGACTCCTTTGGGTAGTGAAGGGCGGGGTATAGATCCAATCCCCCCCCCCTCCTCCTCCTCTTCTTCTTCTTCTTTGTGTGAAAGAGGCACACGTGGCTCCCGAGCCACACTTTGGCCACCTCTCCCCTGGAATAAGTATGGTTTTTCCCTGAAGCAAGAGGCTCTGCCTTTGGGTCACTTCAGACTGACATATTGATTTGCTTATTGATACATTTACATCCCATCTTCTCCTCATGGTTCAAAATGGCTTACGAAACTAGTTTTTAAAAAATCCTTCCGTTAAAACTAAAAATACTGAATACTCTGCACTAAACAGATGCTGGGATTAGACTGTCTCCAAGCTTTGTGCCCGTTCCGTTCCAGCTCTGCGGTTTCGAAATCCTTTGCCACTGGCGATTCTCACGCACAGACCTAAGTTTAGACGGGCTAATAAAACTCTCCTTTTAAAGCAGGCTTTTCAAAGCGATGGGAGTCCCATTCCACTGGCATTGTCCTCACTGCTGTTTAGATAAAGCTTCTCATTCGGGCCGCAGTTCCCCCCCCCCTTTTGGATGTTTTAATAATATTTCTTAAAACGATACTGCTGTCTGCGTCGAGTTATCACCGGACTTCAAAAGCAGATGATAAACCCTCAAATGAGTCAGTAGATACTCTGTGCGTGAAGCGCCATCGAGTCGCAGGCAACTTAGAGATTTTCAGAGGTGGTTTTGCTATCGCCTGCCTCTGCCCAGAATCTCTGGACTTCCTTGGAAGTCTCCGGTCCAACACTGACCCTGCTTAGGCTTCAAGATCTGATGAGACTGGGCTAGCCTGGGCCATTCAGGCCAGGACGAGAGATGAACAGAAGTGGTTTTGCCATGGCCTGCTTCTGCAGAGCAACCCTGGACTTTCTTGGTGGTCTCCCATCCAAGTACAGTTTGGTGTCGCGGTTAAGTGCGGGGACTCTAATCTGGGAGAACCGGGTTTGATTCCCCTCTCCTACACTTGCACCTGCTGGATGACCTTGGGCGAGCCATAGTTCTGTCAGAGCTGTTCTTCAAAAAGAGCAGTTTCTGCCAGAGCTCTCTCAGCCCCACCCACCTCACATGGTGTCTGTTGTGGGGAGGGGAAGGGAAAGGAGTTTGTGAGCCGCTCTGAGACTCCTTTGGGTAGTGAAGGGCGGGGTATGAATCCAATCTCCTCTTCTTCTTCTACAAACCAGGGACAACCCTGCTTAGCTTCTGAGATGTGACGAGATTGGGCTAGCCTGGGCTATCAGGTACAAGGCAAGTAAATAACAGGGGGGCACTAGAAGATCATCACATCAGACCAGTGTTTGGAAACGACCTTTGCAGATATCCATCATCATTATTACTATGCAGGTATCTATTATTATTACTATTAAAAATTGGCTCCACTATCCGCTTCGGTGCCTGTGTAGCTCACAAACACCCCTCTTTCTATCTCCAGGAGGGTTCTATAGAAAAATGTGCCTGCTGCTACACCAGTCGCATTTGGCCCTGCAGGGTGAAGCCTTCCTGACGCTGAACTGCATCAGTGACTGAGAATCAGTTCTGAGAAGTTAACTGGACAGTCAAGGGGGGAAACGACCAATAACGCGAAAGGTCTAGAGATCTCCAGAGCAGGTGCTCAGGCAACGGCGCTCGAAATTATCATAAGAACATCAGAAGGACCCCGCTGGGTCAGACCAGATCTCCGCCTACTCCAGCATCCTGACTCACACAGGGGCCAACCAGTTCCTCTTGAGGGCCAACAACAAGACATAGATGTTAAGGCCTTCATAAGACCATTAAAAGAGCCCTGCTCGATCAGACCAGTGAAGGTCCATCTCGCCCAGCATCCCCATCTCACACAGTGGCCAGCCAGTTCATCCGGAGGTCCAACAACAGGACAGAGAGGCTGAGTCCTTCCCTGGATGTCGACTCCTAGATCTGGTATTCAGAGGTTTACTGCCTCTGCATGTGGAGGTTCCCCTTTAGTCACCAGGGCTAGTGGCCACTAACAGACCTATCCTCTGCCACAGCTCATAGGCTCCTGAATGTATGCACACCACCCACCACGGGGACAGCCAGCTGCTGAGCCACGTTTCCTATTGAACCTCGCCCACCCCCATGAAGCCAAATAATCCCCTGCCGAGCCTTGCAAAACATTTCCAGCCTGCTCGTATCCTATGCATAGATTTCCAATCAGCAAAAAGACAAACAGAGAATCACCTCCTTACAGATTAGTTCAAGCTCATTCGCCAGCTGCCAAAGCCACGGGGACATGCAAAGGGCACCGTGACAGAGTGCCATGCCAAAGGGCTCCATCCTTACAGAAACATCTCTGTGGCCAAAACTGTGGCCTCTGGGCCACATTGCGAGTCTTACCTTTGACCGTTTAAAGGATTTCACGGCCCCGTTGTGTACGCACGGCGTGCTCTTGCCGATGTACAAGGGGTTGTGGAAGAGCATGCGGTCTCTCGGGGCGTGCTGCAGGGACCAGTCCCACACTGAGGGGAACTTCAGGCCTTTCTCGTCTCCCAGCTGGATGTTTTTGCTGATGGCGAACTCCTAAGGGGAAGGAGAATCCAGAGGTGTTCAAAGAGCCAGGCAAGCCACCCCCAAAAAACGAAGCCTCCGAACAGTTTCATGATGGGAAAACTCAAGAGGAGCTGAAGCCACAAACGGAGGGGAAACATGAGGGAATACCGCCAGAGTAAGCCTTCATTTGTAAATTACGGGGCTTTTAAAAAATGTTTTCATGGAATTGGTCCTGTTTATTGCTCTCTGGGAGGTCAAGAATGCTATGGGCGTTGGAGCACTAAAGGAAAAGTGTGTTTTGGGGGCAGGGGTAGAAAAGAGTAAGAGTCCAGTAGCACCTTAAAGACTAACAAAATATGTGGCAGCAGGGGATGAGCTTTCGTGACTCACTGCTCGCTTTTAAAGATACAGCTAGAACGGGAGTCCATCTGTCCTATTTGTTTGAAAGTGAAGTGATTTCAGATGCCTAATGACAATAGCAGGCGTGATTGGATTTAGGTGAGATATGCAGAGGTGTAACAGGCGTGGAGAAATCAGCACTGGTAATGAGACAGGAAACCTCGGTCTCGATTCAGTCCAGGTGGATGCATTGCCTTGAACTTCTTTATCAATTGCAATTCAGATGTCTCTCATTCAAATCTCCCTTTGAAATTCCTTTGTAAGAGAACTGCTAGTTTTAGGTTAGCAACTGAATGTCCTGGAAGGTTGAAATGTTCCTCCACTGGTTTTTGAATGTTGTGGTAGGGGTAGGGGTAGGGGTTGAGCCCCGCACACACTTCTATTTGCTTATAATATTCTGAAGGGTGTAACGTATGTATCCTTATATTTGTTCTTGCAGAATAGTGAGAGGATGATTTTTTTAAAATACCCTTTTGCGCTGTCCAGTTTGTTTGTGGCTAGTAAAGCCGTTTTCTGCTCACCTACCCTCAAATCTCAGCAACGTGTGCCACTGCATAACAGTGCTGTAGCGCTATGCTGATGAGGTCCAGGATGATGTGTGCAGCAAGCGACTTATTTAACCTCCTGTCCAAATGTTGCCCCTGCACAATTCCTCCAAGGCCCTGTATTTGTCATGTTACAGGAATAACACCATTATGCAATGCTGCTACCTAGTTCTTGGTACGGCTCAACCTTTGGTCTACCTTTTCTTTCTAAGAAATCAAGGCTCCTCCTGAGTAATCTTAGTTTTTTGCAAAAGGCAACTTGATTTTGGGGAGGGGAGAGGAGGAAGAGGAGGAATTTATACCCTGCCCTTCACTCAGAAGAAGAAGAAGAGATTGGATTTATCCTCTGCCCTTCACTACCCAAAGGTGTCTCAGAGCGGCTTACAAACGCCTTTCCCTTCCCCTCCCCACAACAGACACCCTGTGAGGTAGGTGGGGCTGAGAGAGCTCTTGACAGAAACTGCTCTTTTTCAAGAACAGCTCTTATCAGAACTACGGCTTGCCCAGGGTCATCCAGCCAGGTGCAAGTGGAGGAGTGGGGAATCAAACCCGGTTCTCCCAGATTAGAGTCCGCGCACTTAACTACTACACCAAACTGGCTCTCAGAGTGGCTTACAAATGCCTTTCCCTTCCCTTCCCCACAACAGACACCCTGTGAGGTAGGTCGGGCTGAGAGAGCTTTCAGAGAACTGTCCTTGAGAGAACAGCTCTGACAGAACTATGGCTTGCCCAAGGTCATCCAGCAGCTGCAAGTGGAGGAGTGGGGAATCAAACCCGGTTCTCCCAGTTTAGAGTCCGCACACTTAACCACTACACCAAACTGTTTTCTTTGTTGCGAACGATTTGCAACCTTGCCAAACTGGAGATATGCTGGGACTTTTGTACCCACCGTGCTTTGCTTTACTCTCTGGTGCGGAGAGTTGAAGAGGAACGTGCCGAACAGCGAGATACGGGTACTGTCGTACAATATCGTCAAGTAAGCTTCGGAGAATTCAAACGCCGACGGGTACTGTTCCAGAAGTTGCCAAACGCAGTCCAGGAACATCAGGAACAAGGGAGACTGGATTCGAGGGGGAAAGGATGGACAGAAGTTATTACAAAATATGTCACATGTGCACAAATTCATCCAGATCCCGAAGCAGTTACTGCCACTAAACTGGCACACAGAATGGTGCTACTCAAGTCCACATTTCATCTAAGTGTGCCAGAACTGGGCACTGACCGACACATTTGAATAGCTCTACCAACCAAAAGCTCTACTTCTACTAAGAGAGACACACATTACCACTTGGCAGTGGGATGGCCGGGAAATGTGATTTTCTGCAGGGCAACCAAACCACTCACCCCTGGAGAAATGTAATGCACGTTTCTTTAGGAAATTCTATTTGTCATGGGGGACAGCTTTAAAAGAAGGTTCCAGGGGAGTAAGCCAGGCAAGTCTGTTGCGACGAACACAACAGAGTACTGTGGGACCTCAGAGACCAATGAAATTTGTTGTGGCAAAGAAGTCTCCGTAAGCCCAAGCTGATTTTGTCAGGTTTATGATTAAAAAAAAAAAAACACAGAAACCACATCTTGCTGAAGACTCAGGGATGGAAGCAACACCAAACCTCCACTGGCTTACGGGGAGAGGCTTCATAACGACATCTCCTGTGAATCCCCATCTTTCCGGCTCTTCAACGGCTTGGCAAACTGCTTGCGGCTCTCTCGTCTCCTGACCTAGCTGTCCCTTCCGCTGTCCCTTTGCCTTTTTTATATCCCACATGCACACAGGTAACTCTGAAATTCTGATTCGCTTATGTCTGTGGGAAGACAACTCCCGACCAGATCATTTAATGGGTGTCCGGGGGCACTCAGCATGCATGCAGAGAGAGGCGGGGGCACTGCAACCTTCGCCCTCTCCGCAGCGCAGACAAACGAAAATGCCAGCTCCTAAGGGGCTCGTGACCAGCAGGAGAGGCATGCCAAACCCTCATGCCGAAGCCTGCAAACCGCCAGGCCTGCCTCCTCTTAAGCTCCACACTCACCTCTTTGTCTGATTTCTTCAGGTGGTTGCACCTGTCTAGGAAAGGGTACCCTGCCATGACCCACTCCTTCTGAATCAGGCTCTGAAACCCAGCGATGGTCCGAAAGAAGGGATCCAACATCACCTGAACGAGGGAGGCCACGCAGCAGCTGAGGTCTCGGCCTTCCTCCTCTGGGCGTACCGGGAGGGGGAGGGAAGGAAGAGAAATTAGCAGTTTCGGGATGTCGCGAATCGGTCTTTTGTGTGTGTGTCTGAACCCCCTTAGAAAGAAGAGTTTTGCTTTTTCTTTCGGGCGCTTCCCTGAACTTAAAAACTACAAGGAAGAAGCCAATCTTCTGGTGTACCACGTAACCAAGATCCTGTTTTCTAGTCCTTGCGTCCGGTATTAACGTTTGCAAGGGATGCTCTGTCTTCTTGGTGTTTGGGGGGGGCAACAGTGGGAGGGCTCCTAGTGTCCTGGCCCCAGTTGCTGGACCTCCTGAGGGCACCTGGTATTTTTGGCCACTGTGTGACACAAGAGTTTTGGACTGGATGGGCCATTGGCCTGATCCAACATTGGCTTCTCTCATGTTCTTATAAATGGAATACACTGTCTGGGGCAAGGGATGCTCTGTATTCTTGGTGTTTTTTTGGGGGGGCAACAGTGGGAGGGCTTCTAGTTTCCTGGCCCCACTGCTGGACCTCCTGGGGGCACCTGGTATTTTTGGCCACTGTGTGACACAGAGTGTTGGACTGAATGGGCCATTGGCCTGATCCAACGCTGGCTTCTCTTATGTTCTTAAGTCCAGGGCTGCTATGCAGAGGCAGGCAATGGCAAACCACCTTTGAACGTCGTGGGGGGGGGGGTCCACCAAAAGTTGGCTGCGACTTGACAGCGCGTCCCAATATCACTTTGCCCTGACCTGGATAGCCCAGGCTAGCCCAAAGGAGCATCCCCCAGAAAGCCCTATTCCGCCTCACGGGCCTGAAGCGCCGGGAGAACTAAGGCTGCCTCCGTCTCTTAGGCCAGGGGTATCAAACATATGACCAAAAAAAAATCCCAACCCTGTGCAGAAGGACACTAAGAATAGAACAGAATAATGGGCTCTTTTTGTAGCAGGAACTCCTTTGCGTATTAGGCAACACACCCCTAATGTAGCCAATCCTCCGAGAGCTTACAGTAGCCCCTGTAATAAGAGCTCTGTAAGTTCTTGCAGTATTGGCTACAGTAGGGGTGTGTTGCCTAATACGCAAAGGAGTTCCTGCTACAAAAAGAGCCCTGATATGAGTAACAACAATATAACTGGTAGTAATTCAACTAAGAATACTACATATGTAGTGCTTACAAAAATTCAACAGGTAAATCCACAGTTTTATCAATAATCCAACTGGTAAGTTTTCAACAATTCAACAGGTAATAAATACAACAGGTAAGTATGCAATGAACCTAGTAGTAATTTTACTTATGCAGTGTCAAACGTAAGGCCTGGGGGGCAGAACCGGCCCGTCCAGGGCTCTTATCCGGCCGGCAAGCAACTGGTATGTATGGAAATGTCAGGTGCTCCCCCTTTTATGGTACCCCTTGGGGAAAAGAAACCTAGTCTTGCATATGATTAAATACATTTATTGGGGCTTTTGCGGGCTCCCCAGTAAATCAATTGCTTTCACTGCTAGGAATCAATTGCTTCTGTTTGTATTTTGAGTAAAAAAAAATAACATTGTTAAATGGGTTTGCCAGTGTCCTTTATAAAGTTTATGTTTCTGGTACCCGGCATGACATTTTATGGCACGCATGGACCGGCCTGACAAAGTGACATTTATGTCAGATCCGGCACTCGTAACAAATGAGTTCGAGACCGCTGTCTTCGGCGGATTAGAGGCACGCAGTTTACCTTGCAGAACGACCGAAACGTGCTTGCTGTCCAGCATGTAGACGAGCTCTGCAGCATGCTTGAGGAACAGTCTAGACAAAAAGAAGAGACACGCACGCACAACGCTGTATGAATTATTAAAAGAAACCAAGAAGTCCATCGTCGCCTTTATTTCAAGGTGAGCCTCCAAGGAAGAAGCCCCACTAAGCAGTGGCCTCCCCCTGCCTACGCCTTGCAAAAACACATTCTTTTAAGTACGTAGGAGAGATAATTCCTCCGACCGTTGGATTTCATTTAATAGACAACTTTCATAGAAATTAGTCAATCCCCTTTTGTTGGTATTACTGTTACTAATGTTTACAAGCATTTGTAGAATGACGATCTGTCTCGTAATCCTGATAACCCCTCTCTGAAGTAGATGGCTCTTATTATCGCCACCTTGAGAGTGAAATTGGACGAGATATTCAACTTGCTTGGAATGGGGGGGGTTGCTTCTTTTTTCCCTTCAAGCAAATTACACAGGGACCTCATGGCTGTAGGCAGATACTCGTGCTGACTAAATAGGGATGCCAGAATCCGGGCGGGACCTGGAGATCCCTCAGAACTGCAGCTCATCTCCAGACTACAGTGATCCATCCCCCTGGAGAAAATGGGTGCTTTGGAGGGGGGACTCCGTGGCATGGTACCCCCCTGAGGCCCCTGCCCTCCCCAGGCTCCACCCCTAAATCTCCAGGAGTCTCCCAAGCTGGATCTGGGAACCATACCTCCCCACCGTCCCCCACTGGCGGCCGGGGGGGACCAGACCATCTCTAACTAGGAGGGATTTTTTCAGAAAGATTTCTAAGGTTCTTAAGAACATAAGAGAAGCCAATGTTGGATCAGGCCAAAGGCCCATCCAGTCCAACACTCTGTATCTCACAGTGGCCAGAAATACCAGGGGCCATCAGGAGGTCCACCAGTGGGGCCAGGACACTAGAAGCCCTCCCACTCTTGCCCCCCCCCCCCAAAGCACCAAGAAGACAGAGCATCACTTGCCCCAGAGTCCCTACCTATACCTTGTGGCTAATAGCCACTGATGGACCTCTGCTCCATATGCTTATCTAATTCCCTTTTGAAGCCGTCCATGCTTGTAGCCGCCACCACCTCCTGTGGCAGTGAATTCCAAGTGTTAATCACTCTTTGGGTGAAGAAGTACTTCCTTTTATCCGTTCTAACCTGACCACTCAGAAATTCTTCCTCACAGTAGGGCTACCTGGAATTCACTGTGCAAAATAGTAATAGGAGGAGGAAGAGGAAGGAGGAGGAGGTTGGATTTATACCCCGCCTCTTACTCAAAGTCTCAGAGCGGCTCACAAACTCCTTTTCCTTCCCCTCCCCACAACAGACACCCTGTGAGGTAGGTGGGGCTGAGAGAGCTCTGAGAGAACTGTCCTTGAGAGAACAGCTCTGACAGAACGATGGCTTGCCCAAGGTCATCCAGCAGCTGCGAGTGGAAGAGTGGGGAATCAAACGCGGTTCTCCCAAATTAAAGTCGCCCACATAACCGCTACACCAAACTGGCGGCAGCAGCATTAATTTATCCAGTTTCTCTTAAGAGGCTGGTCTTGTTTTCTAACAGCCCTGAACTCCTAGGTACAGCTCAGCCTGCTGTTATCCCCACACCGACAGGAGAAAGCTTGATTAAAGCCACCTGGTGAGTACAGAGGCAGAGGCGAGATCCGAATGGGTTGACTTCCTGATTTATACACAGCTCAACCTCTTTGTCGGCTGTCACTGCTGCGCCTACCTCACGTGCTCCAGCCAACGCGAATTTTCCACCAAGGATAACCATTTCTCCTCCGTTTCTTCAAAAGGCTCTGGTGAGTGAAAAGAGCAGTGGTTCGGGTTAGCCGGGCCAAGCTGTCAAAGTTAACACAGTTTTTCAGTGCTCTTCAAATCCTCAGGATGCTACGATAGCAGAGCAAGGTGTAATGTGTGTGTGTAAAACTATGGCATGTCGCTATACCATGGTTAAGGGACTGGCGCACATCCCCTTTACTCTGGAGCACTAAGTTCTTCCCTGCCCACCTCGCCCGACAGCCAGCATTGCTTTCAATTTCCAGCACGAACAAGGGTTTCCTATCTCTGGCTTCACAACCTTATTCCACCGCAGAATGTGTATTCGCGGCCTTTTTGGTAAGGATCAAGATACTCACATGGCTGTCAGAATCGAGAGATGCAGGATATATTCTCTCTCTCTGCACACACAAACACACCTCCCTTCTAAAGATGATCCCCCATAGCAATAAAAATATTTAAGAAATTAGGGGCACATTAGCACAGCGCATGGCCTGCAAAGTCATCATTGAGCAGCTGCCGTAAGAGTTGACGAGCAGAGTAACATCTAGGCATTTTTATGCTGGAAGCTGGAAATCCATCTGAAAGCATTCCTCTTGATTGAATTTTAACCGCCGCCAGCACTTTGTAATGTATTATTTTAATTGTTATGTTTTAATCTGTATTATGTATGCTTTTATCATGTATTTTAAGTTATTGGAAGCCACCCTGACCCTGCTTGCGGGGAGGGCGGGGTATAAATCAGACAAGAAATAAATAAATAAATAAGATATACAAATCTGTTTAAAAGAGCAAGAGTCCATTTGCACCTTAAAGACTAACAAAATCTGTGGCAGGGTCTGAGCTTTCGTGAGTCACCGCTCACCCCTTTGGGCACAGCTAGAATGTGAGTCCACCTGTCCTTATATCTTGTAGAGTGGAGTGATTTCCAATGCTGAATGACATGCCTACTGCCCCTCTCCATATCACACCTCATCCAATCATGCTACTGTCATTCACCAGCTATTGTCATTCTAGCTGCATCTGAAGGACTGAGCAGTGACTCACCAAGGCTCCTACCCCTGCCACGAATTTTGTTAGTTTTACCATTTTTTCTGCTAAATGTGAATTATTAAAGTATTTTAGAACGATTCGTTGGCAAAAATACAACAAAAGCATTAACCATGTAGCTGTCCGATGTAGCTGACCAGAGCATAAGGTAACATGTAGAACCGTTGGCAAAAATACAACAAAAGCATTAACCATGTAGCTCAACAGTACATTCAGAATGATGTCCCTCCTGTAGAAATATTTACAGTCAATGACAAGGCACAAGGTCCTAATCTACTTATTACAGAAACAACTAAGACAAACGACGGCGTTCTAGTAATCATTCCGTTTGCGTATTCTTCATCAGGTTTGTCTGTTGTTGTTGATTATACACCATCTTGGGGTACTGAAGGCAATGTTTCAAGATTCTTAGTCCTACTTCATATACTATATTGGTGCCACACTATTGCATTTCAGTTCTGGTGACTGGGAATTGCCAGTATTAAACTATGATGTGACTACGTCTACAATACATTTCAAATGGCTGAACGAGGGAAGTATCGGCTGTAAATATTTCTACAGGGGTGACATCATTCTGAATGTACTGTTCAGCTTCATGGTTAATGCTTAAGCTGTATTTTTGTTAATGAGTCATTCTAAAACACTTTAGTAATTCACATTTAGTATGATATAATACAGAAAAGAATTATAAAATTATACACACGGTGATTTAGTGTTTTACTCAGTCACATTCATCACGGTCCAGTTTGTTGCAACAAATTTTGTTCAGTCTTTAAGGTGCTCCTGGACTCTTGCTCTTTTCTACTGTGCTATGGACAGAATAACACAGCGACCCATCTTGATCTAAAGCTGTTTGAGTGATACTTTTCGGGGAGTTCTGCAGGCTCTTCTCCCCGACCACACCTTCATTCCATCAGACAGACACGGCTTTCGTTTATGTATTTATGTGTCACGTGCATGACTCTCAAGGGAGTTGCCGAGACAGGGTTAGCTTCCTGCTACCATCAGCCCATCATGTTCACCCTGACATTCGAGTGACCTCTCTGCATGAGGTCCCTCTTGGGAGAATCCTATGCAACGTTCCCCACACAGGCTCACGCGGGCAGCGTACCGTTCACACACAACTGCTTGAGCTTGAGAAAAGCGGCCTGGACGTCCTGGATGGCGGGCAGACTCTTGTCCAGATCAGATTTGTAAACATCGCTTCTCTGCGGATGGCTTCTGGTGATGGCGTTGCAAATTCTAGTGTTTCAAAGAAGAGGGAAATCATTGAGAAGGCGCGCCTGTGCAAGCTGCACTCCCCCCCGCCCCCCGATGAAGGGAGCTTTGACTCCCAAAAGCTTCTACGCTGGAAACTCTCGTTGGTCTCTTAAGGTGCTACTGGACTCAAATCTAACTGTTTTATTGCCGACCAACGTGGCTACACTCTGAAAGATATTCTGTGTTAACTTTTGCATTCTGGGATGTGCAACTGCAGCCACGCGCCTTTTCCCCGTGCCGAAAAACAATACGCACAGCAAAGTTCTTCATGCAAATGTCTGTTTTCAGCGGTCTCCTGCTTGCGGTGACAACAAGCTGCTCTACCTTTTGCAAAGGGCCTGCTGAAGTGTAACACACGCAAGCTGGGGTTTGGGGGTGGCGGCCCAAAAGGCGTCTGCCTAACCTTGACCAGGGCCAGAGCCTTTTCAGCTCTGGCCTCAACCTGGTGGAACAAGCTCCCACTTGAGACCCAGGGCCCTGCGGGATCAACCACAATTCCGCAGAGCCCGCAAAACGGAGACGTTCCGCTAGGCTTTTGGTTTGGTTCAGTTATATAGGCCTCCCCTGCTCGAACTTGCCTACACTGGGTATTATGGCATTCCTATGTTCTTGAAGGCGATTTGGCCCACCTGTTCAAACTGTTGCCCCCTGGTACTTGCAGTGTGCACTCTGGGCTTATGAAATTATCTGGGTCGCCAAACAACACAGAACACAACAAGAGCCCCGCTGGATCAGGCCAGTGGTCCACCTAGCCCAGCGTCCTGCCTCACAGTGGCCAGTTAGTTCCTCTGGAGGGCCAACAACAGGGCATGGAGGTCGAGGACTTCCCCTGAGGTTGCCTCCTGGCTCTGGGATTCAGAGAATTATTCCTGTGGCCATCACTACATTCCCCCCCCCAGTCATCACCAGGGCTAGTAGCCACTGATAGACTTAGCCTCCATGAATCTATCTAATCCCCTTTGGGAGCTGTTTATTCCTGTGGCCATCACTACATCCCTTGGCAGCGAATTCCACCTTTTAATCACTCTCGGTGTAAAGTCATATTTCCTTGTAAGAACACGAGAAGACATTGCACGCTTCCTTACCGTTGGTCGATCTTTCGCTGCTGCAACGGATCCTTAATGTTGGCCATCCTCACGAGAGCGCTTCCATTGGAATGATTCCAGCACCACATCTACAAGAGAAGGACAATTTTTTTTGTCTGCCTGCGTATCATGGAAGTTCAGACATTAATTGCACGTATCTAACACGTCTGCAGCATCGTGAGAACCAAAGCTGTTTTTAAAAGAACATTTTTAAAATTGTTAACAGAACCCAATGCGGGATGATCATGTGGCTCCCCGTCGCCAAGTCCTGCTAGCCACTCAGCTGCTGCACGCCTCCACGGTGCCACAGCCAAGCCCCTGGCAGCTCCACCATCGCCTCCCGACACCTGCCAGCCAGGGTGCCACTGTGCCCCCGCCCCCTTCAGTGGGGGAGGAGCCAAGAGATGCCATGCAACCTGCCCCAATAGCGGACAGCAGCTAAAAGGAGGCGTTCCCTATTTGGGAGAGAACCAATTGCTGGAGAGGGCCGTGACTTTCCCGGTCTGCTTGTGGACTTCCTGGCAGTAGCGAGTGGCTGCTGTCAAGACTACACTGTTGCACCGACACCATGCTGCCCTGAGCACAGGGTAAGGGACTGGCTGTCAGACTCAGGCATCTGGCTAGCTGAAACCTGGTGTATTTTAACCTGTCATATTCTGCTTGCCCTCTGTACCCTTATCGCTGCCCTCACCTGCCACTGCATTCCTGGGGGGGGGGAGTGTCTGTAGTGAATTGGGAAGGCTCGCTTGGTAACTTTCCTACAGGGCCTCAAGACATCTCTCAAACGAGAAACATCCTTGAAGTAAAGTCCGTGCCTGGCTAGATAATGGCTGTATATCTTTCAAAGTCGTCGTAGTAATGCCGATGTGGTTGTGAATGGAATTTTGGGGTTGTGCCTATATCCTGTTTTCCCGCCTTTGCACTTCAGTCCTATTAATGGACAGAGGCTCAGAAATTACATCTGCAAGTTCGTTTAGTACCCTTGGATGCAGCTCATCTGGCCCCGAGGACTTAGTTTCATTTACTACTACCCTTATGCTGATCCTAGGCTGCAACTCCCTTCCCTCATCATGTGTTCTGTTTTTGCCATGTTGAGTACCGTTTCTCTTGCAAGAGAAGACTGAGGAAAAGTAGGAATTGAGCAGGAATTGAGAGTCTTGTTTCTCTCAGCCAGGAACTGGAACTCTGGGGTTTAACATCAATGGTCTAATGGTTAACAGTTGCCAACAGATATTTGGTTCACTAACTGCTTTCACCCCCTCCCCCCTGCTGTAAATTGGGGGTTAGGATTGTATTACGGTGCCATGTGGGCATCAAATATTTCTAGAATTGTATTTTTAGACTATTTAATGATTTTATATGTATTTTATAGGAATTTGTTGTACACCGCCCTGAGCCTGCTTGTGAGGAGGGTGGTATAAAAGCCTAATATAATAATAATAAATAATAAACAAAGAGTTTGAACCCACAGTATCTCATATCTCTAAAGATAAAACATTCACTGCTAAAGTGCGTGTGGAGAGTGACTTGACTGGGAACCTGACAGGTGGCTCACAGCGCTGGAACGAATTGCCCTCTTACATGGCTGTGCGACAGAGCAGAAATCAGGGACACCGATTTTCATAGCACCCTCCCAGGGCAGAGTTTTCCTGGTGCACAGTACGGTGCCTTTGCCCTCTTGCGAGGCAATGTGTTCTAGCAATAAGGCAACAGTTATCCGGCAGCAACATCGGCTTCACACACTCACCGGCATCCGCCTTCCAGTAAAAGCATGGGAGTAGTGCTTTAGATCTTGATCTGCCAAGGATGACGGCACTACAAAGTACTCTGGAAGACTGGGGAACAAGAACAGAAATGCATGCCTAATAGCTTCATTTGAAATGCAGTTTTTTGTTTGTTTGTTTGTTTTAAAGTTACCTTAACAGTTTTGTCTTGCTGAAATCCAACAAAGTGTTTAAACGGAATGCTAAAACTAAAGAGCTGAAACCTCCCACTTGGGGAAAAACAACAACTGTAGAATCTTGATTTAAGCACACAAATTCTGATCTGTATCCTTTACTAAAAACAGAAACACAGCTCTGATCATATCATACATGTATACATGAAGCTGCCTAATACTGAATCAGGCCCTTGGTCCATCAGGGTCAGTGTTGTCTACTCAGACCGGCAGCAGCTCTCCAGGGTCTCAGGCAGAGGTCATTCCCATCACCTCCTGCCTGGTCCTTCTAACTGGAGATGGTGGGGATTGAACCTGGGACCTTCTGCATGCCAAGCAGAGGCTCTGCCACTGAGCCATGGCCCCTCCCCTTTAATACATGAACACATGAAGCTGCCTTCTACTGAATCAGACCATTGATCTATTAGGTTCAGTCTTGTCTACAGACTGGCAGTGGTTCTCCTGGGTCTCAGGCAGAGAAAGGTCTTTCCCATCACCTACTGCCTGGTCCTTTAAAATGGAGATGGTGGGGATTGAACCTGGAAACTTCTGCATACCAAACAGAGGCTCTTCTACCAGGCCATGGGGCCCCTCCCCATTTTATCGAGGGCACTTTCAAGCACACTAAATAACACACGGTCAATGCACTTTGCAACTGGATTTCACTGTGTGAAACCGCAAAACCCACTTGAAGTGGACTGGAACGGCATTATTTAGCACGTGTGAAAGCGCCGTGACCGACTGGTGCTTCTTTGGCGGCCACCGGAACTCATTTTTTGTCTCCCTTGGTTGAAGTAGCTGATTTCTGCCAGCCACACTCTAGGAACTCAGTGACTCTTAAAGAGACCAGAGAGCCACAGGCGGCCCGCATCCAGCTCCAGCCTCCCAACCTGGGCGTCGTTTCTTGGTCAAACAGAAGAGCAAGCTTACCAGGTAGATATCATGTAGCCTTCGTTGACCGAACACACACGCCACTCGGAGGCTCCCGTCCTCTTGATTTCTCTGTCCCAGTCCGAGTATGTTTCAAACAAAGGGGTCTGCGGGCTGCTGGTGATGCCGCCACCACCCCCTCCGCCTCCCCCTCCAGGGTCTATTCCGTTCACCTTTTTTGCTAGGAGAAAGCAAAAGGCAGACTTTAAAAATACTCCTTCCGACTGCAAAGCAGTCGCACGATATCATCTGCTACAAAAGGTACCAGCGATCTTACCGGGGCGAACTGGCAGCGTTGACCAGTTTATTTGGTTGTACTGCTTTTGTGTGTGTGTGTGGGGGGGGAATTGCAAACTTGAGTGAGAATGGTAAAAAGAAGATAAGAGAAGCCAATGTTGGATCAGGCCAATGGCTTATCCAGTCCAGCACTCTGTGTCACACAGTGGCCAGAAATACCAGGTGCCATCAGGAGGTCCACCGGCAGTGGGGCCAGGACAATAGAAGCCCTCCCACTCTTGAACCCCCCCCCAAGCACCAAGAATACAGAGCATCCCTTGCCCCAGACACAAGAACATCAGAGAAGGCAATGCTGGATCAGGCCAATGGCCCATCCAGTCCAACAGTCGGTGTCACACAGTGGCCAGAAATACCAGGTGCCATCAGGAGGTCCAGCAGTGGGGCCAGAACTCCAGAAGCCCTCCCACTCTTGAACACCCCCCCCAGGCACCAAGAATACAGAGCATCCCTTGCCCCAGACCAAGAGTTCCCATCTGTACCTTGTGGCTCATAGCCACTGACGGACCTCTAATGAAGAAGATGCGCTGCTCTGACAGTCCCATATGTTGATTTATTTTAAGTGCGATACTGATCGCCCCTCCCACACTGTGCAATCTCAAAGACTGCTCCAGGTTTCAGTGGGCTTAGAATTCGATCCCAGCTCTCCCTCCCCCACCACTCAAGCCGCCCTCCGCGTTTGGAACGGTTTCACTCCCAAGACTGTTTCCACTGAGCCTCCTTCTCATGTTGTTCTCTCCCTCCAGATTTCAAAGAGACAGAGCGTAGGCATGGATGCGGCTGCTTGGTTTTCTTGGCGCCTTCGAAGGTGGTACAGACGGCCCAGGGGGCTAGAGCTCAACAGTGACTGGGCCTCGAGCCCCACACACGCAGACGGCAAGGCAGGAGGGAGACCGTCCCAGTGCTGGAGGGTGGCTTAGGCCGTTTCTCCTTGGCAGCTGCTGGTGGCTTCAGGACTCAGACTGCAAGGGGAAAGCTCCAAAGGGCTCTTCTGCAAGGGAAAGGAGGACAGCACCCAGAGCTCAGCCTCTGTGCTGGATGGCCCTCTTTTAGTCACTGCATGCCATACACAGACATGTATCCCCCTTCCCAGCACGTGCGGGAACTTGCCCACTTCTGGGCAGCCTTTCAACACAAAAGTGTGCTGGCCTTTGAGGGAACATAAGCACATAAGAGAAGCCATGCTGGATCAGGCCCGTGGCCCATCCGGTCCAACACTCTGTGTCACACAGTGGCCAAAACCCAGGGGCCATCAGGAGGTCCACCAGCGGGGCCAGAACTCCAGAAGCCCTCCCACTGGCAGGCCTGAGACACAGGACAGAATCCCCCAAAGCGACCTTAAGATAAAACCAAGATGAGGTTTGAAATCATTTGTCTGCGTTTCACCTCTGCACTCTAAGCCAGTGGTACTCAAATCCATGGCTCATGGGCAGAGGCTTCTGCAATTAACCTCGGCTGAAACAGCCACATTTACTTCCCTCCCTGCCATGAGGCGTTTGATTACATTTGTGATTGTTGGATTTCAGTTTTATGTATTTTTATGTACTCTCTTTTACGCACAGTATCCATGTCATAAGCCGCTGATAAATGTATTAAATAAATAAGTAAAACATCAGCTGCTGAAAGCAACGTATTCTGCCACCCCGGCGCAGTCGGCCTCGAGTAGGGCTCTGAAGAGGAGGCACGGTGATATTCTAAATCAGAGATTCCCGAACTTATTTGGCCTACCGCCCCCCTGGAAATCTACCGTCAAGAAGTGGACAAAAAGATGCAGTGACAAATTTGCACATAGTAAAAAAAGATGTTGTTGTAAGGAAAGATGTTGCTGGCCTGAAGCCAGAGGCCGGCAGCAACCACCACACAATAGCCCAGCAGCAACAAGGGTGCACATGCATTTGCAGTTTGCAAATACATGGCTGTGACTGGCTGTGGGGACTTCTCTCCACCTTCCTCCCTGATCCCAGGGAAGACCAGAAGAAGGCAGGAAAGGCTGCTTCTGGGTTCTTCTTTCTTTATGCTTCTACTGCCCCCTTTTTTGTATTCAACACCTCCCCCCCCAATTGCACCCAAGGCTCCGACTGCCCACCTGGATCGTTCCAGTACCCACCCAGAGGGCAGTATTGCTCACTTTGGGGACCTAAATAAACAATAAATCCACCAGGAACAGTCTCCTGCGCAAGAGCACAGCTGGGCACTAATGCGCCACCTCCGCTTGTCGCATGACTCTGCCATCGCTGCACAGAACCTGCAAGCTTCCAGATGCCAAAGCGAAACTGGGATGAAAGTGCCCTTCTTTTGTGAAGGGGAACAACCCTCTTCCTAATTCTAGATTATCACTTTCTAATATAGAGGGGTTTTAAAAGAAAAAGGAACGGCCATTTGTCAACCAGGTTGCTTCTGCTTTTAAACCTCAATTTTAAATCTGAAGACTGTGCGGCATGCTACGGGACTCTGCCCTGGGGACCCTGCGAAGCCTTGTGGTAGAAAAATCCGGGTTTGTAGGGTTGCCAAGTGAATTTTACTCACTGGCGGGGGAGCCTCGCCGCGCTCCGGGAGCTGTCCCTTGTCGTGCGTGCCACCAGTGATGCGCGACATCGATCACGTTAAGGGTGTGGCCCCGATGATCGGGGCCACGCCCCCATGCTGCGCTTCGGGGGGCGGAGTTCCCCCCGGGGCCCAATTCCGCGGCAGCGGAAATCGGGCCTCCAAAGTGGGAGTTTACCTGCCCCCCGCCCCCACTTGGCAGCCCTACTGGTTTGCAAGCCCCGCGTTTCAAGGTTACCAAACTGACAAGGTTTGGTGAGGGACTGGCCTCGAGCCGAGAGGGTGTGCTCCAACTCAGCGGGGGTGGCCAAAGCTCTGGCTGGGCTGCCTAGCAAGCTCCTGGGGAAAGGAGGGATGGGGTCCCCATTGGTACAAATCCTTCTCCTGCAATGCCACCAAGAACAGAGGCTTACCAAGCGAAGGGCTAGTGTGTGAGCCTGCTGGAAAGAGGACTCATCTAGGTGTTTCACGGACACCTGACAAAGACACAGGGAGAGGCATCGAAGGGAGGGGAGGCTGAGATGTTACTCATACTGACATTATCTTGTCGATTTTATCACTAGATTCGTTTTAAACATATTACTTCAATGATCGTCACCTACCCAGGCAGGTCTAATCAGTTTTACTCTACTCTCCCTTTTAGCTGACATCTGTAATGGAATTACTGCTTAGGTGGCAAGGTTGTGTGCTGTGGCCATCCTAATCAGGCAAAAGACTATTACTTCTCAGGAAATTTTAAAACTCACTTTGTTTTATTCACTAAAAATTTTAGCTGTCAACTGTCTGGCTGTATTTCTGTTGTTAACTATATGCTACATTTTAGTGGGATTTGCTGATCTTTGTAATAAATCAAATCGAATTGACATAAAGGGCTTTTTTCCCTGGGAAATAATGTTCTGCGCTCCTTTGCTCAAGGCTGATGAACGTATGAAAAAGGGAGGGGGTAAGGAAGAGGCATGGAAAGATGCATTGCCAGCGATTGTAAGGTTCTGCAAAACAAACCCCCTGGGGAGTTTTGGGGAGAAAACGTCAACACAGATGTAGCCGCCGTTTCTGCATCTTAAATTGCCTGCGCGGGTTATGACGACATGCAAAACAAGTTACCTGGATTGTGATATTTCTTTCCCACGTATTCGAAGGCAAAGAGGAGCTGGAGATCCGCTGGCTGAGAATAATGAGCTATGGCGAGACACACCTGGAGGAGGGGAAAACAAAAGGAACTGTGAGGCATTCCAAGTGCCATTCCCACGGTGAAATAGATTGGCTGGTTTAGGTTGAGAGTTAGACAGACAAGCCCAAAGTCACCCTGTGAACATGATAGATTACCACCACCACCACCACCATCTGGCATTGTGTGCAGTATAGCCAGGAGATCCTAAGATTGTCCGGCAGTCAGAAGTTCCAGCTCTTTTAGCGTTATGCACCAGTAGGTAGTGAGCTAGACTTGTTTTTAAGACAACAGACATTTCAGAGGTGGGTTTGCCATCACCTGCCTCTGCATCACGACCCTGGTATTCCTTCCAAATACTAGCAAAGGCTGACCCTGCTTAGCTTCCGAGATTGGGCCAGCTTGGGCCAGACATGGCAGAATGAACACTGGACTCCAGGTCTTAAAGTACCTCAGCCCACTCATCAAGCTGAAGAAGAAGAGACTGGATTTATACCCTACCCTTCACTACCCAAAGGAGTCTCAGAGCGGCTAACAATCTCCTTTCCCTTCCCACAACAGACACTCTGTGAGGCAGGTGGGGCTGAGAGAGCTTTTTTGAGGACTGCCCTTGAGAGAATAGCTCTGAGAGAACTTGTGACTGACCCACGGTCACACCAGCAGTTGCATGTGGAGGAGTGGGGAATCAAACCTGGTTCTCCCAGATTAGAGCCCATGCTCTTAACCACTACACCAAACTGTCTCTTGGCAGATTCTCAGTTTGCCCTCCTGGACTGAACACCTGAAGATCTTAAGAGTACTTTTCCAACATCCCTCCTGTGTTGCTTGGTTAATAATCTAGTGAAATGCATTAACGAAGCTCTCATTATTACAGTACTGGTTGTTTTATCTAGAACGGCCACCGTCTGGATCAGATGATTACTACAGAGACCTGGGCAACGTCACTGCCAAATCGTTTCAGTCCTCCATTTCCCCTGTTGTTCTCCCATTATTTTTTTCAGACCTGGTTTGTGGCCTTTTTTCCTTTCAAAACTTAATGGACTGAAATGCAAGCCTTTCTGGTTTGAATGGCAAAGCACTAACGATGGCAGGAGAAATGGTCGGATGGCCGGTGCCCTGCCACTTCTTCACTGCATGGCCATTTTCAAGCATCCTCAAACACATTCCCTTCCCCACATCATACTTGAAGCAGCAAACAGATCAGGGAATGTTACATTAAAAAGTTTACTACACTAAAAGGGGGGAGGGAAAGCATACATAAGATCTCTCTGTGTATGGACAGGATATTGTGGGGTTTCACTGGGGATATCTAAATTAATATATATAATGCTACATTAAATACACCATAGAGTAACACAATACCAACTGTAGTGGTATTTTCAAATATTGTTTTAAAGGAGTATTCACTCACAATCTTTAATGAAATACTTCACCAAAGGGCTCCCCCATTTTCTCATTCCGGGCCGGAAATTGAGAAAAATAAGGTTTCCCATTCATTTTACTGCTCTAACCCTGCAGGAACCTCCTCCCCTTCTATCTTAGGACTAGATTTGCCAACCTCCTGAAAATTGTGCTTGTGAGAACACTGAATAATCATATTGGATGTGATAGCACTGCATGTATGGACAACGTCCTATCCCCTCTTTGAAAAAGCTTTTTGGAAACGGATTTCCAACAGGGGTGGAACGGAAGTGTCCTTCCGACAGTCTTCACATACGCACTTTGAAACGGAACTACTTGAAATATTCATCTGCTGTACTTTGAAACTGATGAACTGAAAACGTTCATATGACACAGGCACTTTATTCCCTTTTTGAAATACTGGATGAGAATGAAACATTTATGAATTCAGCATCTATGGATTGATTATCTGATTGCTGTATGAACTATGTTGATATGAATACAGATTGTGTGAGAGTGTCTTTATTAACTACAGAATACAAAGTATATATTGATCCATAGTAATTTGTTCACGGTTTTTCTCCTTGCGTGAACTCTCTTTCTGTGAATCTCTCACTGACTATTAACCTCCAGGTGGGGCCTGGTGAACTCAAGAAACTATAACTGATTTCCAGACTGCGGAGATCAGTTCCCGTGGAGAAAAGGGCAGCGACAGAGGGTGTCCCCTGTGAGGTGAGAAGCCCTCCTTAAGACTGATGCAATCGGCAGACAAGAACAAGCAAAGCCCACGTCCTCACTCTACTGCTCCTTGTTTACGCTGAGAAAGGAAAATACAAAAGCGAAAGGGGCAGACACGGGCCCTGCCAGGCTACTCTTTGCCGAGGAACCAAAAAAAAAATATCCACAGGCAATTTTAGATGAGAGATGCCGACGCAGAGATGGAAAAAACAAATTTCCTTCCTGACAAAAGCCCGGCTTGTTTGCCTGCTTGTCCCCAAAAGAGTTCAAGGCACATAGTTGCTACCGTTGTTCGGGGTTGTAACAGAAGAAGGCACTGAGTGCCAAACTGTAGACTCCTTCAACTTCAGAGGAATGCCACAGAGAAAGGAGAAAGTTCGGGGTTTTTTCCGTCCACCCTGAGAAAAAAGAACCATTTCTCTAATTCATCACTTTCCCCTGGGTACTGCTTACAGGGCAAAAACAAAAAAAAGGAAGCTCAAATGCCACCCTCTTGGAACTGAGCCATGACAGAAAAAATGCAGAGCTGGGGGTTACTTTCTCAAAAAAAAAACCTCCCCCCAAACAACAGCAGCACATGAGCCACTAGTGAGAGCAGGTGTGCCTTCGTCTTATCAAACAGCCTGTGCAATAAACCAAGTTTGAAGGAGACTTTAGCTGCCTGTGTTGCTTAGTTCCACTGCACCACCAAGAAGAAGGAGGAGGAGGATTCATATCCTACCTGAAGGCGTCTCAGAGCAGCTTACAATCTCCTTTCCCTTCCTCTCCCCACAACAGTCACCCTATGAGGTGGGCAGGGCTGAGAGAGCTCTCTAAAGAACTGCCCTTGAGAGAGCAGCTCTGAAAGAACTTGTGACTGGCCCTAGGACTGGATTTTAAGATGTATAGTATGTTTTTAAACTATAAGTATATTATGTTTTATTGTAGCAAGGTTATCTTGCCTTTGTAAGCCGCCCTGAGCCCTACGGGGGAGGGCGGGGTATAGATCTGATAAATAAATAAATAAATAAACAAGGTCCCGCCAGCAGCTGCATGTGGAGGACTGGGGAATCAAACCCAGTTCTCCCAGACTAGAGTCCACATTCTTAACCACTACACCAAGAGACTCACTCGCTTGCTCAATACCACCCCCACCCCATCCACACCAGCGAAAAAGCTGCAGTTCCGGGTGGAAGGGGAAGAAGTCAGTGTCTCTCCCTGCAGTGAGGGCCACTCGGAATCCAGTCGGAAGACAGAAAAGCCTCAGCTCTCCTCTGTAAGAGAGGAAGGCTGCACTGACAGCTTGGTGTGGGAGTGGGGGAGAGGGGAGGGCGGTGTTTTCCTAAGCAGACGAACTTTCTGTTAACTCAGGCTACCAGTCTCCCCTTCACCTCCCACTCATTCTGTTCCTTCTGCACCCTCCCAGGGCCATGGAGGACGGTCCTATTTTCTCCTTGCTGCCAGTGAGGAGCAGCGGTGCCTCCAACTAAGATCTGGGAGATCAGGGTTCCAAGCGCCAACAGAGCCAGGCAGATTTCTGGGCGACCTCTCCTGTGTGACTTAAGCACACAGTGGGACATTATAAGATGGATAAACAAGGGCTTCAAACTGAGTTCCTTGATTAACTGAAACAAACGAATGTTGCTCGACATCAACCGTTCCTCTTTGAGGGGATCCACGCCATTTGAGCTGCCACCCGCCGAGCCCAGACAACGGACCTCTTGGAAAACTGTTGCATCTGACTGCTATTTAAACATGCGTCGCTTCTTTCAAAGTTGCTGACGGGGCCTTTCCACAGCCTCCGCTTGCTTACAGGCAGCGAGGTCTTCCCCTCCCAGCACTTCCTCCCACATGTCCTTAAGCGGGAGGGTTTTCGGACTCAGCTTAACAGCAAAAACAGCTGAAGGATAAAACTTCGGCAACAAGGAGCATGAAGTCTGTCCTGTTAGTTCACAGCTCAAGCCCAGCCGCTCTCTAAGCACACGGACGGACCAGGTAGAATCAGTGATGGAACTCCGTCCTTGAACGTTGTTTTGGCCCATTCTGCAATGTGGTGGGACCTCTTATTCGGCTGAGTACGGCCAAGTGACCCCTGAAAAAAGCATACCGACGGGGTCCCAACAGTTCGCTACCAAAGACTACATCAGCCCATTTAAAAATCTGCATCTGATTTGCTTTAGAGTAGGGGTCCCCAGACTTTTCGAGTATTCACACACATTCGGAATTCTGACACAGCGTGGTGGGTACAGTCACAAAATGGCTGCCGCAGGAGGCGGAGCCAATCGCAAAATGGCTGCCGCAGGAGGCGGAGCCAATTGCAAAATGGCTGCCGCAGGAGGCGGAGCCAATTGCAAAATGGCTGCCGCAGGAGGTGGGGCCAACCACAAAACGTCAGGGAACAAAGTCATGCATAACTCTCGTGGTAACTCTTCAACCTTTAAGACAGAAGCTCTGTTTAACAGGACGCTTTTTAATCTGCACAGCCAATCAGAAGCACCACTAAGCAAAAGCTCCATCCAGCCCCGCCCACTTTCTATAAAAACACTCGCAGGTACCAGGAAAGACGCTGGCGGGCACCGTGTTGGGGATCCCTGCTTTAGAGGAACGGACGCTGCAGTAAAGGGAAGGCTGGAATACAGAACAGACGCAGCCAAGCCCACTTTTGTCCTGGGGTGTGTGGGGAGAACGTGCCACTGGGCACGCTACTTTTGATAGGATCAGGATGCTGGATTGCGGATCTTCAGCCAGCTGCCCCACATGCAACGGCCTCCGTCAACTGGCTGGCCCTCGCCACTGCTGGCAGGGATTCTTTCCGGTGTCACATTCCAGAGCAGAGGCAGAAAGAAAGCAACGGTCGGTTCAAGGCAGTTTTGGAAGCTGGCACGAAGGAAAGTGTGTGAGCGGTCTCTGCTTGGTTCCCCAAAACATGCTGCAAGGTCCAGAGACCCTTTTCATTCTGGGCTAACTAATCCTTCTGCAGAAAGAAAACGGAGGGTTTCTGAAGACAGCGATGGCTGCACAAATTCAGATGGACTGCCGTTGCACATAAACTCTTCCAAGCCCGTTGGCCGTCCTTTGGTACAAGGTGAACCAGACAGGTATTTACAGTTTCCACCTCTTCCATGTACTTGAGTGCAAGAAATTTAAAACCCCAAAAGGCAAATAATCCAGTATACACAACCCTCAATGAGCTTCTTGTTCTCAGTCATCCTGGAAGGGATTTTTTTAGCCGATGCAGAAGGCTAAGAACACACTGGAGAAAAACACTGACTTCAGTTTTTCCAGGAGCTACGTGTGAATTTTCACATCCTGACCTTTGTGTGACATTCGCTTAAGGACAGCCCCTGGAAGCAGGGACTCTGGCTAAGAGTTTCCGTTCCTGGCATCAACAGAATCTCTACTGTGGGCGTCACATGTCAATACACACCCGTATTCCAGTCCCAGCAGATTTAACTGAAACATTAAGAGTACTTGATCCATTAATCTTTAGGTTTTTGCAGTGGGTTGGGATCTCGGGAGGGATCACCGGAGCTGGGTCATAATTGCTCGAAGATGAGCGACCACGTGCCTGTGAGATGGGCCCCTCCTCCTCCTCCCTCAAGAAGCCCCTCTGGAAAAAACGCAAACCCTGCTATTGTGGAAGAATAAAAGAACTGAGCACACACCGACGTGAGCAGTGCGATGTCTAGTTGCAGCCTACGCGACTCTGCGCACTCCCAATTCAGTAAATTCCCAAAATGGAAGCCACAAGAAGTGTGATGAGGCTATTATGAGCCAAAAGCACTCGGGATGAGATGAGGCTATTATGAGCCAAAAGCACTCAATCAGTGAGAAGGGTGCCTACTGCTTCTCTGCATGATTTATGGCCTTCTTCCAAACGATATCCACTAAGGGCAGGTGATTCTGCAACCCCTTGGCGTGAACTGCGACTGGATCATCAGATCCTTTCCAATACAGAAGCTTGGCAGAACCAACAGCCCTCAAAACAGGCTGTCTGTTGCACCTCTGCACAAGTCCCTGCTCGGGGCGGTTCTCCTCTTAAGCAGCGACATGTGCGGAAACACAAGGGAACAGGCTTATTCTTTCTAGCTTTTAAATACTGAAAATATTGGAACTAAAACGATGGCGCCACATTTTTTAAAGAAGTGTGTCTCAGCTATCCGAATTTAGAAAATGTCTATCAGGTCTATCAGTGGCTACTAGCCGTGGTAACTAAAGGGAGCCTCCATGTTCAGAGGCAGTCAACCTCTGGATCCCAGAGCCAGGAGGCAATGTCAAGGGAAGGCCTTGGGCTCTATGCCCTGTTGCTGGCCCTCCAGAGGACCTGGTTGGCCACTGGGTAGACCACTGGCCTGATCCAGCAGACTGCTTCGTATGTTCACAGGTCACCCCCGAAGGCTAGAGAGGGATCTTGAAAGGTTCCCCAAGTTAGAAACAGTGCGTTACTTTCTGTTCTACCGAGTGGCCCGGTAAGAATGCCAAGTGTTCAAAGCACAAGAGACGGACTGGAGTGCTTTTCTGCAACCACAACGGTTATGGTTGGAAAGCACTTTGAACAAAGATGCGCCAGCCAGCCAGCCACTGTGGCCCCTGATGCTGAACTTCAAGTACACTTGAAATGCATTCAGTGCTAACACATGCACATGTTGGACAGAAATGTTAATTTCTTTACTCAGAAGTTCCCCCCACCCTCATGCTTTTAGTAAAATATTTTCCTCTTTAAGCAAACACACGGAACTCTGGCTCTCATTTATTTTACCCTGCTAATTACATTTTTAAAAAACCTCTTAACACCAGGGATCCCCAACTTTTTTGAGCCCGTCGGCACCTTTAGAATTCTGATACCGCCTGTTGGGCACAGCCGCAAAACAGCTGCCTCGGGAGTTGGAGCCAGCCATAAAATGGCTTACCTACGATCGCAGTGACGATCCTGGTGCTGTGGTGACAGCTGCTGCCAAAGCAACATTAAAAAAAACTGCACAGCCAATGAAATCTACAATGGCCAATCAGAAGCCTTGCTTGGCAAAGGCCTCATCTGACCCCACCCACTTTCTAAACAGACTTGGTGGGCGCCAGAAAAGGTGTCAAGCGGTCGCCACGGTACCCACAGCCATCATATTGGGGTCGCCTACAGTAAGTCCAAGGAAATTTTTACACCTTCCGCCTCTAGGGTTTCCAGGTCCTCTTGTCTTGCTGGGGGGGTGGGGGGATTTAGGGGGTGTGCTGGAACATCCCCAACATGATGACATTCACCTGGACGTGATGTCATCACATCAGGGACGTCACATGCGACACTCTGGTTTGAGGGCAAAACTCTACGGTAAAACCGGCTTCAAACCATAGAGCTTTGCCCTCAAACCAGCGCATTCCCATGCAAGGCCCCTGACCTGATGACGTGACTTCCGGGTGACGTCATCGCATGGGTAACATTGCACAACGTGGCTGTTTGGGGGGGTGGGCAGAAGCCCCGAAAACTGGGGGGAACCCCCGCCGGGACCTGGGGACTGGCAACCCTATCCTCCTCCCACAGCTGAGCATGTTATCAGTTCCAGGTGATATCCAAGAGAGAAAGGAGAAACTTATGCAGACTACGGTACCTTTTTTGCACTTTCTGGCCCTGCTTCATCGAAACGAAACCGGACGATCCGAAAGTCTTTGCAGTAAATGATCAACTCTGTCGGGTTAAATTTAAGTTTCTGGTTGGGGCCCAGAACTTTCTGTTTCCTCTTTGTGTCGTTGACTGCATAAGGAAGGGGGGGGGGGGGACAAAACACTTTTAAAGCAAAGCACACAGAACACCCAGCTGGCGATGCCGGAGATAATCCCTGGTGATATTTACTGGCTAATGAGAAAATAAAAGCAATGTGGGTGATGCAGCGGCAGTCACACCCCTGATGACGCTGCCGTAACATCTGCACCCAGTTCCTGTTCCGAGGAACCCGAATTGCTGTTTCAGCTTCGGAGTAGCCCTGGGAGGTCGCGAAGGCGAGCCGAGGAGGACTGGCCCTGCCCAAGGCCACCCAGGGAGCTGCGCAGATGAGTCTGGACCTGTGCTTGGGTTGCACGCATCCCGCCACGCAGGTCCTCCCAGGGCTAATGCCCCTGGCCCCCTCACATTCCCTGCTTCGCCGCACCGGGACTCGGATTAGGAAGGCAATTCCACAGAGGACAGCTTCAAGGCCGGGGTCCCGAAGTGCAGTGCCCGTTGGCGCCATGCTGCCCACAAACACCTGTCCTGGCATGCACCAGGGAAGCAGGAGGGGCCAGGTGGGGCTATTGCCCAGCAGGGCCTCTGATTGGCCATCGTAGATTTGACTGACTGTAAAGTAAAGGAATCTGACCCTAGGGATGCGGTGCTCATCTCCGTTTCCAAGCCAAAGAGCCAGCGCTGTCCGAAGACGTTTCCGAGGTCATGTAGCCTGCGTGACTAAACGCCGAGGCGCACGGAACGCTGTTACCTTCCCATCGAAGCGGTACCTATTTATCTACTTGCAGTATCTTGCTTTCGAACTGCTAGGTTGGCAGGAGCTGGACCCAGAGATGGGAGCTCACTCCGTCATGCGGCACATTCAGGTCTCCAACTGCTGAACTACCGACCTTCCGGTTTGCAGTTCAGTGTCTTAACCACTTGAGCCACCGCAGCCCTACAGATTGACTATACAGATTTTCCAGAATGTTGTTGTGGCAACAGCTGCCACCGCAGCACAAGGGTCTTCACTGAATGACGGAAGGCAAGCGGCGGCGGCCGTTTTGTGGCTGGCTCCACCTCCTGTGGCTGCGCCCACCACCCTGTGTCAGAATTCCAAAGGTGCCCACGGGCTGAAAAACATTGGGCACCTCGGCTTCAAAGCATGGAGAGCCTCGATGATGGGCTGGGGCCAGGATGCTCTTCTGAGCATTGTGATCCCACCTGACATGGCTACTGAATTTTCGAGCCCACAAGGGACTGCTGAGCCAACAGCTGACTAGAGGTGACCTGCACCTGGTCTCCCCTGCCCAGTGCCAAATAACGTGCTGTCCAGCAATACAGTGCTTCCTGTTACTTAGTCTGGTCTCCCTTAACAGGCTGTGACCCCTCGAGAGAAGCCACTGAAGTCCTCGCATTTGAAAAGCTGGCGGATCGTTCCGCTGAATATGCCAGAAACCTGTCCGAAAGCATCAGGCGAACAGCACGCCTGGCCTGTGCCATCTGGACAAGCGGAGTGGGGGTTGGCCCAGCCCTATGCATTAGACTGCAATATGAAAGCTGGTGATACCCTCTCCCAGCACAGCCTAAAGGGGCCTGCTCTTCCTCCACACACATGCCCCGGAGCCGGAAATGCTGCTCCTGGAAGACAGGGGACCCCCTCCTACCCCAGAAGAACATGAGAGGCAAGTCAGAGAGATCAGTGTTTGAATGGGGAAGGGAGGGGCTGTAGCTCAGTGGCAGAGCCTCTGCTTGGCATGCAGAAAGTCCCAGGTTCAATCCCTGGCATCTCCAGTTAAAAAGGACCAGGCAGTAGGGGATGGGAAAGACCTCTGCCTGAGACCCTGGGGAGCTGTAAAGAGGGGGTGTGGCTCAGTGGCAGCGCATCTGCTTGGCATGCAGAAAGTCCCAGGTTCAATCCCCGGCCTCTCGAGTTCAAAGGACCAGGCAGGAGGTGATGGGAAAGACCTCTGCCTGAGGCCCTGGAGAGCTGTAAAGAGGGGCTGTGGCTCAGTGACAGAGCATCTGCTTGGCATGCAGAAGGTCCCAGGTTCAATCCCTGGCATCTCCAGTTAAAAAGGACCAGGCAGTAGGGGATGGGAAAGACCTCTTCCTGAAACCCTGGAGAGCTGTAAAGAGGGGCTGTGGCTCAGTGACAGAGCATCTGCTTGGCATGCAGAAGGTCCCAGGTTCAATCCCCGGCCTCTCGAGTTCAAAGGACCAGGCAGGAGGTGATGGGAAAGACCTCTGCCTGAGACCCTGGGGAGCTGCTGCCAGTTTGAGCAGACAATACGGACCTTGATGGACCAAAGGTCATGTAAATTTTTTAAAAAACCCTTCCCATCAGCAGAAATCTACCACTGGAGCCAACCCACCGAGAGTAAGCTGATGTTGAAAATCGTCTTGGGTTAATCGCTCCAACACGCACCTTCAGGCTTCCCCCAGGAGAACATTCAAAGGACACATTCTCCTTGTGGGGTGGCACCTCAAACACAGGCCTGCTTAAAAGCAATTCTGACCACCCCACACAGATTTCTCTAAGCCAAAACGTGCCAAGAGAGCAAATATCTGACTTCCCACAGCCAGGGGCTTCCCATGTACCTGTGACTATCTGTTCGATGCATGTCAGTGCAACGTCATGTTCTCCCAGAAGAAGATTCCTGTAATGGAATTTCTGGAAAAAAAACCAAGCCAGAAGTTCCTCATAAATACCACAGTTCACTTTTGACTTCAGCGTAGTTACTCTGTGGGTGAAAGCAGACAGTTATTCTGCACGGCAAGAGTGTTGCGCAACGCTACCCAAAGCCCCGGGATCCAACCAAAGCTTCCTGTTCACTTCTACGGAAGGAAATATTTTAATGGGATTTCCCCTAACGTGCACACAGGCCATACGCCTTCTTCAAGAGAACTGGGGAAGTCCCTGTGCATGCAGAGCTCTGCACCCATGAAGCTGCTGCTGAATTGTAGCAACTGCTTCCAAAGAGAACAGGGCTGTTGCTGACCCACTGGAAGGGAGTCAGCATCTAGCGACCTTTCTGTCATGCCTGTATCTTGTCCCAGCAACTCCCGCGGCATCCCTAAGGCCAACACGGGGAAGCAAGCAGTGGCCAGGCATTCTCCTACTGTGCTCGGATCCGGAGCTTGCTGAGACCCTCCTCCCCCAGCAGCATTTCGTACTATATTTTCTCAGCGCTTGCATTGTGCTTGAGCGCTGTTAGCAGCTTTAGGAATCGATTTCTGCCTGAAAAACAAGTCTTTAACACAGTGGAAAGCCAGACAAAACGAAAGAGCGAACTCCATTAGATTTTTGTTCCACCCCGGCTGCTTTGATTTGCTATTATTTACAGATTCAAAAGGGTGAGAAAGGGATGGAACTTCGCTTGCTTCCGCCCCCCCCCCTTCTCAATTTTTGTTTCCGAAGGAGGCAGTTTCGTTTGCTCTTCTGAGTGCGGAACAACTGAGCGAGGGCTCACCAGTCAATAACCTCACAGGAGCCTTATCAGTGTCCTGGTATTTAACGCAACACCACTACACCAAATTGGTGAAGTGATGCCTAAACTTGCATTCACTACTAGAGACTTCCGCTCCCCCTGCTGTCATGGCAGTGCAGAAGAGTCCCAGGCAAAGGATAATTGTGATGCATACAGCCTAAAGCAGGGGTGTCAAACATGCGGCCCGGGGACCAGATCAGGGCCCCCAGAGGGCTTCTATCAGGCCCACAAAGGACTGGCTGTCTCCTGCTTCTTCCTCCAGTTCTGCTGCTTCTGCTGCATCATAGCTTGCTTTCCCAGACTCTCTCAATCGCTCAGGAGAGATAGATAGGCAAGCTTCTGCTC